TTCTCCTGCAGCATCAGGAGCTGGTTGCATCCAGCTCAGAGTCGGGGACTAGCACTGAGGCAGCCTGGAAAATGCAGTGTAACAGAGGGAATTATTGTACTGAAATGGACATCTCTCCCCAGGCCGTGAGAGCAGGCTGCCCCTGCACCTCAGAGGGGAAGGCCAAGGACCCTTGGTTGAACTCAGTTGTCCTTCAGTGAACCTTGGGAACATTCTTGTCAACAACCCCCACATCTGTGAGGTGAGCAGCAGGGCTTGGGATGGATCCTGATGGCTCCTGAGACAGCAGCAAGGCTGGTGGAGCTGTGGAATTCCTGCCAACCTGGGCAGTTGTGAGCAGGGAATATTTGATGTACTGGTCAAATCTGGAGCGGTCAGAAAGGTGTGTCTGTTGTTCATGAAGCCCCAGTCCCTGCTTTTGGGCAGCCTTCCTTAGGGATCAGCTGGGAGGCTTCCTGCAAAACAACCCCTTGGCACATGAGAGCAACAGCGGGTCAGACAGCTGCACCTTCAGAGGCTTTTGTGGCAGTGCCAGACACAAGGCACCTTTGTACTGGGCTGTTGAGAAGCAGCTGGAACAAACTGGCTGCGTTTGGGCTCTCCAGTCCACTGCAAACAGCTTCCAGTCAAGTGTCTCCTGCTCATTCCTGGAAGCCACAGGAAAGCCATCCAGCCTCCTGGTTCAGTGCTGGGCCTTGCAAAGGGCTTGGGAATTCTTCCCCTTGCTGACCAATCCCTCACCACGCTTTGGCCTTAGTGCATTTCTGACTCTAGAAAGAGAAACGTGTTCCTGGGAATAAAGCAAAGGATTTTTCTACCTATTTTCCTCCCCTGACAATGGTGTCAAGTTTTACAAAAAAACTCATGAGAGAGCAACTGAAAGAGGTAGAAAATGAAGCACTGCCTCATGCCAGACACTTTCAAAAGCCTGGCTGGGGAAGGCAAAGACACACAGATTTTTCTTACCAAAAGATGGTGCTGTCTATATATTTAAGACACTGATGCCTCCTAATGAATGTATTGTTTTCATGGTGTGAGAAAAGGTGAATGAGTAGATGGTACTGTTGGAGCTGTGCTCGCCGGGGCAGCAGCAGCTCTGTGGTGATTCACTACGCAGCTGCAGTCACCCCACGTTGCTGTCAGGGCCAGGTCTGAATGAGCTTGGTGGTGCTGACCAGAGGCGACTGCTCTGTGTCCATGGGATAACCCCAGGGTTCCAGCAGTTATGTGGAGTTACCACAGCTTTGCATGAAAACCTAAAGGCAGAGCTTGTCCTGTTGTATCTTTTAACTTCTGCCATTCAGCAGCACATAGCACCTTCTGCCATTTCTGGGTCTTAATTGCATCATTAGAAAATAACTCTCACAAAAAGGCAAGATTCCATGTATATTTCCATTTTGCTTTCTTGCTGCTGCAGGTGAAGCTGATTAACCAAGGAGCTATTAATGCTCCCTTCACCTGTATTCCTTCAACTACAAATGTGGGCTTCTTCAAGTTTGCACCTGAGGAGGGCATCATTACACCAGGCGAGATCCAAACTATTCAGATCTCCTTCAGTGCCACCGTGCTGGGGAGGTTTGAGGAAGAAGTCCGGTTCAGTGTGGCTGGATCTCCTGTGCCTGCAATCCTGACCATCAAGTAAGGACTGTGGGAGCTTGGTGGGCACATCTGGGACATCCCCCACCTTCCTCATTTGGGGGCTGAGCAGAGAAAAAAGGTGTTTCCTGAGGTCTTAATCTCTGCTCTGATCCTGGCATTGCCTTAGTGTGAGGATGCCTCCTGCCCTGTGTGGTACCCAGGAGCTGGAATGACTCTTCCCTGCAGGGATCTCCCTCTGCCTTGGGCCATGGCAGGCAGTGGGATGGATCAGCTTTGGGCAGTAGCTGCTCTGGCATGTCCCCCCTGAACAGCCAGCAAGGCCCCCAGGGCTTTGGAGGTGGGCCAGCCTGGGTGATTCTGCACCAGCAGCAGTGTTTGTAAAAACTTGTGTTAATAATCCATCCCAGATGGGCAGCAGCAGCAGCCTCACCTCACCTCTCACAGCCATGCTGTGGGGCACAAGCCGTGCTCTCAGCTCGTGTGCAGAGAGTGCCCTGGGAGCTCCTTTCCACAGCCAGGAAAGGGCTGATGTGGGAGACAGGGAACTGTGCAGCAGGAACTGTGCCAAGGACAGGGGCGTCATCCCATGGGCTGGTGCCATGGCAAGAGATAATCCTGGCCCAGCAAAAGGGACAAGGGCTGATAGCAGGGGAGGCAGAGCTCAGTCCTCAGCACCACAGCAGCATGAGGGCTTGTCCCTGCTAGCCTGAGCCATGTGCTGCTGGGATCATGTAGGGTAAGCAGGAGAGTTGATGCTGGCTGCTCTGGAGCTTTGGAGCTGGGCTGCTGCTCTTGGGAGGCACTGGGTCAAGGCAGTAAAGAAATTAAAGCAATCTGCAGTCAATTATACCAATAAGGGAGATGGATTAAAAAGAGCAAGAAAGTTACTACTTAGCAAGAGAAAAGTGGTGAGTAGGTCTGCCTATAGTAGAGAAACAATCATGCTAGCTTTGTTTTTGGAGGAAAAGTGATGCTTTTTTATTTTGGAAATCAAGAGGGAACCTTTGACCATCAAATAATTGATGCTCCTCTGTCCCTCCCCCAGATTGCTCATGGGATTTTATTACATAAGCAGCTTTCTCCTTGAGCAAGGGCAGGTGTCTCTTGTTGAGAGGTGTAGAACAGAGCCAGTGGCAGTCCTGTGAACACAATAGGAGGCACAGTTCACTGGTCCTTGATTTTTAACCAGAAGGCAGAGTGGGCATTGATTGGCATCTGCCATGAAATAAACTCGTGAGTGTTGTGCAGCTTCAAGTGCTGATTTTCAGTTGGTGACTTTTGGAGTCTGTCTGCTGAGTTCAAGGACAGGTGAGGTGCTGTGCTAGATGCAGGACACCCTTGTTTGGTTGTTGAAGCTATTGCTCTTGGCTGTGCCAGCTGGTGCACTGCTGACAAGCTGGTCCTTTCCTCTAGGATTCATCTGTCCACTGTGTAGAACTGTTGCTGCTCTTTTCAGAGGATGTTTGGGGCTCAAAACTGTCTGTAATAATTGCATGGGTCAAACTCTCCGGAGAAAGCTCCTCCATGGGAGCAGCAGTTCCAGCTCAGAAGTAGCAAAGCGGGGAACCTGTGGCTGGAAAGGCTGCTTACAGAAGTTTGTGGAGGCACCTTTATGTCCATCACTTTACAGATGGGGAAACTGAGGCACAGGGCAATGTCTGGGTGTGTGTTCAGGGTCCTTCATGGGGCCACCAGCAACCATGGGGCTTTTCCTGCCTGCCCTGAGCCCAAAGCCCCATCAGTGGCTGTTGGCTGCTGGCCACTTGGCTTTAGCTGCCTCCTGTCCACAGGGGCCCTGTGCTGAGTACATGGTGGTGTGTTGATTTGAGCCCCGCAGTGCCCCGACACCAGGTTTTATGCCCCCAGGCCACAACACTGGACCTTTGCAATTCCTTTAACCAAGCCATTTTCTCCTCTGTCCTCGCCATTGCAGGGGCAACGTCACTCGACCAACTTTACACTTCGAACTCGATGAGCTCAGCTTCGGGGACATCTCCTTTGGTGAGTGTTCCCTGGGCTGGGACACAGCGTGAGGGATCTGTGTGTTCCACAATGGAGCACTTGAACATCAAAGCATCCCTCGCTCTTGTTCTGCCACAGCAGCCTCTTCAGGGTGTGAACTCCAGGGCTGGTGCCTCAGGTAGCCTTTTGCCATTGTGAGATGAAATAGAACCAAGGCATAGAAAGTCAGTATTTTCTGGTGTCTCTGTCCTGCTTTAAAAGACAGATGTCTGCCAAAGAAGGTGGGAATCCTCCTGGAATGGAAAGATGACCCCCTCCCCCCAAATTATTATACCTCTGAAATTACAGGGCTCACAGGCAAAAACATGGGAAAAGCAATAACAGTTCTTTACTAGAATATATCAGCACAAACAACAACACAATAAACAGAAGTTTCCAACCTGCCAAACAGCGTTTTTCTCCTTTGGTGTAATTATGATCACAGCAGGAGGAGGTGAAGGCTCTGGCAGGGCAGTGATCCCCTCCCAGCCGGCACTGGCAGGGAAGGAAGGAAGGAAGGAAATGGGAAATGCTCCTTTTGCAAACTCACGGGCAGAGGGGATCTGGGCACTGCCCAGCAGCAGCAGGCAGGAGCGGGGAAGGCAGGCAGGCTGGATCCCAGCGCTGAGCCGCAGCCCAGGGCAGTCCCGGGCCAAGCACACAACCTCCCGCAGCAGCAGCAGCCGACCTTCCATCCCGAGCGGGAGGAAGGGAAGCTCCGCTCCCTGCCGAACCTCGGCTCCGGCCTCACAGCCGCCCACGGCATCACGCCACAACTCCCAAAAACTCCGAACGGAGAAGCCCACCCCCAGAGCCAAAACCCCCCAAGACCCCTATCCCCCCTCTTCACTACGAAGCCTAAACCCATAATAATGATTTTCATTAACTTTTTAAGAAAACTAATTGCCTTTCCTGAGCTGCTGCTTCTCCACCCTGCATCGCCACTGGGGCACTTGTTAAGTTGCCTTTTGAATAAATAAAACAAGAAAGGCAACTGGTAGAAATACAGTTCTGAAACTAGAGATTCATCCTGCTTGTTCCGATGTCATTCCTAAAGTCTCTTCAGCTAAGGCAGCTATTGTATCTTTACTTCTTTCTAACTGCTGGCTGTTGTCTGCATGTGGTGACCTCAGTCTCATTTGAGGTTTTGACATCTGTGTTTGTCCTTTTTGTGCCTCCCTTGCCTCCCTGCTGGAGTCATTGCTGGAGCTGGCAGTGGTCACTGTTGATGGGCACAGAGAAGCTCTGGGCTGTACCTGCAGTTGTTTTTTCTCCCCATCTGTGTTCCAGTGACTCTGGGTGAGCAGGCCCAGGGAGAAGCCTCCTCCCCACAGGGCTGGCCAGCCCAGCCAGATGTCCACTGTAGAGCAGGTCATGGCTGCTGTCCAGGCTCTGCAGGACATCCCCACCATGCCTGGCTGGATCTGACTTTCCGGTACAGAAAGCAAATCTCAGAGCTAAAGTGGGGTAAGCCCTTGCAGGCAGCAATCACGGTGAGCAGCACGGGTGTGATGTCCCCGTTTGTTGGGTGAGGTGGGCCATGGTTCCTAATTGCTAATCTCAAAGCAAGGCTCGGCTTTGCCCCCAGCTGAGTGGGCTCTGAGCTGTCAAGTAAGTACTCAGTCTGTTTGGCCCAAAGCAAGAGCTGCCTTAAGGGTCCTGCAGAGGAAAACTGCGTTAGGGTGCTTTGGATCACGTTCTAGTTCCTGACAGCATCCTCACTTTCTTTTGCTGTAGCCTCTTCTCAATGACGACTCACTGTTTATAGATCTTGAAAAGGGTGGGAGTGTTGGTAGCCTTAACAGGGAATTTTACAGCTTGAATTCTCAGAGTAAATCCTCGGTCTGGGTGCAGACCCATCACTGAGAAATAACTGGTGCTGGTTTGAGGCAGGTGAGGGAGCTCTTCCTCATCACAAAGAGAGAAGCTTGCAGTATTCAGCAGGGCTAGGAGTAGGCATTTTTCAAGGCTGCAGTTTGGAATCAGTGTCAAAGGCAATTAAGTGATGATGAATTCTTCCTGCAGCTTCTCAGTGAGCTGTAGTTCAGACAATAAAGAGCTAAACTCCAGTCACACTTTCATCCTACCGGGATATTCACCCCAAGGGTTATGCCATAATTGGTGCCTAAATGGATATTTGTGTCCTTTCCTAGGCTTTCCCTACACCCAGAGCTGTCACCTGACTAACACCACCTCGGTGCCAGTGACGTTCAAGCTCCGCGTGTTGGACGATGGCATGCAGCCTGCTGTGAACGTCTTTGATCAGATACACAGCCACAGTGACCCGTCCTGGAGGGAGGGAATTCGCTTTTATGTGGAGCCAAAGGAGTTTACAATGAATCCCAGCCAAGGGACCATCCTGCCCCAGGGACACCAGGATATCGAGGTATGGGAAGAGCCCAGCCACAGATGCTTCAGCACCAGGGCTGAAGCTTCCCTGGAGTGTGGGAGGGCTTTAGCTCTGGTGCCAGCTTTGAGCACTTGGAGCCCTGTGTGAGTGAGAGATCTGCACTGGTGAGAGGCCTCTGCTGGCTGGCTTCCTTGGGATGTTCCTCAAGGAGCACCCTGTTGTTTCCAAAATCACAAGCTGAGATCACATACCATATGGTCAAGTACTGAAGCCATTCTTGTGCTTTTTGAGAGAGATTTCTTTGACTGCAAGTGGGCAGAGGGAGGATGAGGACAGAAGGTGGCTGTTAGAGAGAGGAATGTCGTCGTAAAAAGCAGTTTGCTTCTCGGTCTCATTTCCCTTCTCCTGGGGAGCAGAATGATTTGTGCTCACTGCAGGGAGCTCCAGTGGAGACAAAAAAATGCAGCCATGAACTGCCCAGCACCTGCTGGGCCCCACTTTGCCCTCAGCTTCCTGCTGTAAAGCTGAACTCATTCTGTTCAAGTCAGATTTCCTCTGCATTTATGTCATTGCAGTCAGATGAAAAATTGGCCTCTTAATTTGAATACAGTGGTCCATAGAGCTTTAGTCTAATGTTTTAATTTGGCTGACCTATGCCCTGATATCAAGGTGTGTTTAACAAATCTGGTCTTGCCAGACTTGGGGGTACAAGACGTGTACCCCCAAGTCCTGCTGTACGGTGAGTGCCGGCCGAAGGTGCCATACCAGAGGAAGTTCCTCATTGCAAATAACACCAATCTTCCTGGCTGCTACGGGCTTATTCCCCAGGTTTGGCATCGCATCCACCTCCTCCTCCTCCTCCTCTCAAATATTATTGAGGAGATATTAGGGTAAAAAAGGGTTTGGATAAGGCCTTGCTGGTTTCTGTTCTGTCTTAAAGATCTGCTGAGAACAGGATCCTACCTGAATGTAAACTTAAGGATGTAGTTTAACTTCCTGAGGATAGTTTATGTTCCAGTCTTCAGGGTGTTTTCTTGTGGGCGATATTAGAGGGTTGTGAAAAGCTGCTGCATCCACAGACACCAGTGCCTGTGCTGGCAGCCTCCTTGCAGGAACCCCTGAGAATGCTAAGCCTACAATTCTTGCATCTTGTTTGTGCCTTTTACCTTTGTCATGGGGATGTTTAAAAATGTGTGTAAGTTGCTGTTGCGGTGGATGTTAAGGAGTCTATAATTTCTTCAGAGGTCCCTCTGAAGCTGCATTTGATTCTGTCCCTGCCAGGAACGCAAGGAGGACTCTCCTGTGTTCTACTCCAGCCACAAACCCTGTGGGATTGTCCAGCCTCACAGCACTGCAGAGATTCCAGTTACAATTGAAGTCCAAACAGTGGGCAAGCATCGCACCAACCTTCTTATCGGCGTGTTTGGGGATGAGAGAAACCCACTGGTGAGTGCAAGGGGAGATGTGTGCCTTTGTGCAACTGCTCCTGGCAGGGTGCAAGGGTACAGGGATTCTCCTGGGGAAAACAGGCACAGGCTGCTGAGGA